GGAACAGGAGACGCAGGTCAAAGAACTTGACCTCGTGAGGAAGGCTCCTCTCGTTGTACAGTTTGATGCGCTTGGCCAGGCCCACCACCAGCCGGGCTTCAGCTGTCAGCTCCTGTGCCCTAGGGCTGCTGAAGACAATGTTGCAGAGACATTTGAGGGATTCCAGGATTACATCCAAGTCTGGGACCTCCCGGATGAGCTCCTCTGAGTAATCAATGCCAGCGTGCCTGGAGAGGGTCTTCAGGCCTTCCTTGGTGGTGAAAGGGTCAAGGCAGTATTTGTCCCGGGACAGGATGCGGATGCTTTCCAAGCACGTGACTTGGCAGGACGGCTGCAGCTCTCTTTCCAGGAACTTGATCAGCAGCTGGGCCATTTTCTGTGCGGTTGGAAACAAGCAATGCCTCATGCACCGACACTTCACGGTGCTCCCCCACCACCCTGTAATGCTCTGCCCTGAAAAATGTGAGCGCCTTCTAGAGATAGGCCTGCTAATGGCTCTGGTTCAGGTGTACGCTCGGCAGCACTCGGGAAGCGTTTGGCTCTGGCATCTGATCCTGACCCAGTTCGAGCAAGGACACCCAGCAAGAAACAAAAGAACAGCTGGGAGAGGGTATCAGATGTAAGGGGAGAGTATGAACAGGCAACTGCTACCATTGCACATTGTAGCTTCACCCACGGTTAGGATGGTTCAGGCTAACACGGTTTACTTGACAGCTGCATTAAGCTAAGAGAGGGCAGGTCAAAAGAGTCCCTTATGGCTTCACTGAGGAGCAACAACCAATTCACCAGAAGTTCTGTGTTCCCACCCAGAGCCTTAACACTAGGGAGGCATCTGCTTTGGGTGCTCCAGAAACAGCCCGAGAAAGTTTAGAGGTGCGTCAGAAAACTGCCGAGGGAGGGGAAAAGGACCCAAGCGAGGCGAGAAGAGCACATGGTGCCCGAGGAGAGGAGGTGAAAAGGCCTCAGGAGATTCAAATAAGTAGTACCTCCCTAAACCTCAGTGCTGTCTGGAGACCTACTAGCCCAGATCCTCAGTAGGTACAGACGGGCAGAGCTCCACTAACACCAATTCGCAGCGGCTGGAAGTCCAGCCCTTGCGGCTAACAGCATCAGATGTGACAGCAAGCAACGGAAGAGTACAAGAGCAAAGGTAAGGCTTCACACAACCAAGCGCAGCTTGGTTCGAGCCACGCGTAGCAACACCTCACGTTACACTATAATCCACCGCATCAACATTCACGCCTTGGTGAGGTAAGGTCCCACGAGATCTCTCTAGCATCACACCGCATCAGAGCGCGTGTCTTTCCATGCATATTACAAGAGTGACAGAATCCAAGATTACAAGGTTTGCTATCACGCAGTGTAATTGGCTTAACACAGCCTAATCAGTTATACCTCATAATAATAAAAAGACTGAGGGAAGGAATGAAGAAAAAAGGAATTTTAGTCCTTAATGTGAGGCTGGCAGAACTGAACAAGGCTTAGACCATGAAGTATGCCCCACAATCACAGCCTTGAGAAGCAAGGAAGTACAGTCATTCCTCTTCTTCCATACGAGGAGACAGACAGAGAAGTTGACGATACAGTCGTAAGTAACCAAAGCCTCTGACTGACTCAGGTTAAAGAGATCTCAGAGCTCAGGCCCCGAGCTAAACCTTCAGAAGAACTGAGCACCAGGAACTAGATGGTGATGCTCAATCCGTATTTCGTGACATACGCCCCAAAAGCGGAGCACCCCGAGGCTGTGCCTGAATTCACAGCCTGTGTAACAGTCCCAGCTCAAACAGCAAGTCAGTGCAAGGCAAAGTGCTCAGATCTTGTGAGATCTGGTCCTACGCATCAGGCTGTAGCTGGAAAAACTTCATGCTAGCATTAGCTGGCAATAGCACGGACAAAAGAGGTCCCGTTCTCCACCCTGGCTGCCTGGTCCACACCTGATGTGCTAACACAGCCATTAGTGCAATCCACCAATGAACTGGACCACAAAACTGATCCAGCTGGAAAATAATCCAGGAAAAAAAAAGTGTTGGTCTTTAGGCATATCAGCCCACCAACCCTGTGCAGCCAGGCAAAGGTCTGCCCTGGCATGAAAGACTGCAAGAGCAGAAATGAACAGGCCGGCGCGTTCCTTTCCACCGAGTGCCAGATTACGCCAGCTTAAAGTATCTGTTAATATACAGCCTTAGTCAAACCCCGCAGCTGGCTCCCAGCAAAACCACTTACCCTCTAGAGGTCTGCATGTTGCTATGATCTTTGCCTAGCAGACTCATGCCACAAACACAAAGGATCACGTTTTTATACACCTGTGGCTGAGACTATATGCATCCCGGAACCCAAAGGGCTTGCTAATGCTGGAAGAACGCTGGCCTTTATCCTAAACCACCAACTACTGATGGAAAAATTGGAGGCAGATGCTCTGAGCACACCATTCCCTAACCAAGTTAATGAAAAACCACTCGTTTCTTTCCCTGTAGGAGCTGCCACCACCAAGCCCTGCTGGACACGAGTACGGAGCAGCAGATTTACCCATCTGCCTAGAGGAAGAAACCAAAGAGCATGCCTACCTTCCTCTCTTCCCGCTCCTCATCGTCAAAGGTGAAGCACTGAGACTTCTGTGGGGGCAAAACAGAAACAATCAAAATAAAGCAATAGGTTAAAAATCCACAAAACTGTTCCCCCCAGGCCATTCAGCTGGAAAGCAGCAAGTCTAAAAACACACTGCAAAAGCAAACCCATCTTCTCAAGAACAGTCCCCGCCGGCACCGAGGCAGGGAACCAGCGCGGCAAGGAGCGCCACAGTGCTCGGAGGTCTACGGTGTTCGTGGCGCTCCTAAGAAGCGGCCCGAGCTCCTGAGGAACAAGGCAAAAGGAAAGTTTCCCTGCCACTGGGGTTTTCGTTTCAGCCCTGCCTTTTCTTTCCACCGCTGTTCCTACTCAGGCAACTCCAACTACGTGCCTCACAACTAGGGGGGGATGAATCTGGTTTGAAAAGCACAGACATGGACCATGCCACCGGGTCTGAAGTGCTTTCCTTGAGTGAGATCCCCACTATTCTGGAGGCCCCTGTTTCTCCTCCTTTTTCATCCTTGAAAAACATTTGTGATGAATATCACCCGTTGCCCTCTCCCACATCATCACAATCCAAATATCCTGCCATAGCCATTGATTCCTCTGCGCAGTGACACCACCAAGCTGTGCCTACACATTTCTCCCCTTGATATTTACTGTTCCTTTTCCTGACTGAAAGAAAGTACTGTCTCCTTGTTACTTGCGAACAGATCCCTGTGGTTATTTAGGTCTTGTTCTTTAAGTACAAGAGACCTGATCTCTACACCTCCATCACGTTCCTTTCCTTAATAAACAGTCCTGATCTTTGTTCTCAGGAAACATTTCTGCGTTCCTCCCTACTCTGGCTGTTCTTCGATGGACACTCTCCTCTCTGGCTACATCTGCTTCCAGTGAACCAGACAGCACAGGGGATCACAGGTGCCCTGGTGAAAAGCAGCACTTCCCAGTGAATGAGGCAATCCTCCTTTACACCAAGAGCACATTTGGTCCCAGCTTTGAGAATGAAAATGTTTAAAACTTATAGAACGCTAGTTACATATGTATAGATACAGCTAGATCTAGAGAGAGATGCGGGTATAATTGTATCATCATTCTCCCATCATTTTCTTAGCGCTCGCCGCCACCTTTTACTGAGTTACACTGCTTACACTTACAGAGCTGCTCGATAACAGCAATTAGCCCTACCACAATCACTCACTCTTATACTCCGGACTTATTCTGCTCTTGAGTAACCGCAGCTCATGGCTATCCTATCCATAGGCCTGACCAGCTGAGCTTCTCTCCCACTGTATTTATCCCCTCACAAGTTGTCCAGCTGTCTAACTCTACCCGATTCCCTGCCCAGGGAAGCCTGGGACTGACCGCACTGAGCTTTTCCAGATCACGGGTGTTCCCTGACTTGCTCACTCTACAACTGTAGATTCCCCTGCCGTTCACCCCTTTTTTTACATGCTGCCAATTCCTGTCTGCTTAAAAGCAGAAGATACAGTTTGCAGATCAACGGTGTCGCAGTCACCAAGATCCCAGGGAGGGCTTTGGTCTTTCTAGCCTAGAGCAAGCCGTGACGGACAAAGCGATGCCGACACGCTGCTGGAGAAACCTCAGGCGCGGGGGCCGGACAGCTGTACGCCTGCAGCGCGGTGCCGGGGCTGCCCTCTCGTGCTTCAGCGCCGCGAGCTGATCCGTGCACAGGCTGCTGCAGCACGTTACGAGGAACTGGCGGTTCAGTCCTGGAACCGATGTGCTCTGCAGACAGCCACGCCACTTGTTCTTTTCCTACTGCATCTTCTTTGCGGGCTCCTGTAATCTCATTCGTGCATATTTTTGCCATACCTGTGCTTTTGCTTTAGCTGTAGTTTATTCCTGGCAATCAAAAATTGACTGCGTATGCAATAGTGAATTAAAAAGTATCACCAGAAAAAGGATAGAGTACCATCAATTTTTACAGTAAAAAATGATGCAAGGAAGTTGCTTAGTTCATCTGCAGTTTCATAATCCTCTTTGATTGCTCCATTTCTTCCAGACGGGCTAGCAAAACCACTGACATGCTCGCAAGTTTCCTACGCTTGATACACCGACAAAGGATCCAGCTGGAGGAATTCGACAGGAAACATCGTGGTTTGATGCCTCAAGCTGGTTACACACCGAACTCTGCTTGCACTCCTAATTCCTCCAGCATTACACCTGCTGTAGGTGATGTGAATCCTGCAGACCGTCTTTAACAGGGCCCCGCTCCTTCTTAGCCAATACCTCCCCTGTTTCAAAACCGACTGCTGGAAATAGTTGCACACACTCTCTCTTGCACACTCGTGCAAAATATTCACAGGTTGTCCCCGCTGGCTTCCCACCTACTCAGGAATGGTGCAGAATGAGTCACGGAGATCTGCAGGGCCAGCCCTACCCCGGTGGAAACCCTCGGAAGGAAATTTCCCTGACAACCAGAGTCTATTTCAAAAGGGATTTACCCTCACAGATAATCTTTTGCCTCTTTAAGGCTGGAAACACTTTCATTGTTGCTTCCCAGCCATTCTTTTTTTGATAATCTGTATGCATTCTTTACTTCTTATTGTCAGCTTTCAGATCAGGCACCTGTACCGAATTCCAGCAGCTCGTCCCTGTCCACCTCTAACGATCTTTTACTTGCAAATCACGACAACCATTCCACCTGCAGCTCCGCCCCAGCCCTCAGTTTTATTACCTCCAAACTTTGCCTTAAAATAAAAGCTCCTCCTATTGGTCTTCACACTGATGTTTATTTCCCTGCCAAGTTTTACTTGGGATCTGGATAATAATAATAATAATAATAATAATAATAATAATAATCCCTTCTACATGCTTTACTTCCAGTATACAAAGGAACCAAGATAAAGAGAGGCTGCTTAGCTGCTTCCTAGCAAAACATCAAGCAATAAACCATCTGCAAGTAAAAGACGAAGCAGCCTGTAACATCTTTATGGCAGTAACGCAGACAGATGCGCTCAGAGGAGACAGACTGGGGACAGCCGGATGGCACAGAAATCCCACAACATGGCCAGCCTGCTTGCAGGCTTGTAAACAGCAGCAGCCACCCAAAACAGCAGCAGCCGCCGTCAGGCAGAGGCCTGACGCTCACTCACCTCCTGGTTGTAGATCTGAAGCACCTTGAGAACCGTGTCTTGCTCCCCACTTTCCACGGTGGCTACCACAGCCCTGAGCTCCATTATCGCAACAGCTCAGCTACAGCAGGAGGCGAAACCAGGAGGAAGGGGAGCGAGGGGGCTTCACGGGCTCCAGGATAACGCTGATGCGCAAGGCCCTCGAGACACAGATATCTGAGAGGGAGAGAGAAAGGGGTGGGGAAAGGAAGGAGGGAAAAAAGCCAAAAGACAAAAAAACCCAAGTGAGATTGCTCACGCTGTTGCATCCGTAAAAGCAGAGCAGATGGATAACCCGAGTAAAACCAGCAGCCAGCTTCCTCTCTCTCCCTCTAATCCTCCTCTTCCTCTTTGCTTTTCAACGCTTAATATATGCCCTCCCAGTAAAGCACCCAGGGAAAGCCTTCCCCCCACCCAGCCAGGGGATTAACACAGAGCAGATAACAGCAGCTCCCCAAAATAGCTCTCTGCCTCCTCCTCCCCTGGCTGGCCTGATTTCTGTTACTGCACAGGAGGGGAAGAAAAAACATCCAGAAACATTCCTGTGGAGTAGAAGGGGATGGAGGGGGAAGCCAGGCAGACCGGGAAGCATCCTCCGGGCTCAAGGCGGAGCTGCCTTTTCAGGTGGTGGAAAGAAAGGGATCATTAGGATTTCGTTGCAGTCGCTGTGCTGCGCGGCCGGTGCCCGAGACAGGCCAGGTCACGGCAGATACGCCGCACAGGCGGTGAAAACGCACGTACGGGGGCGGCTGGCCTCCGCCGCCCAAGCCTCTGTACCACTGCCGGAGACAACGCGCCTCACGGTAGTAACGCAAACGAGCGGGTGCGCAGAGACGCAGCTGATGAGATTATTTTAGACCCAGGCACAAGTTTAACGGCTGGTAGGGCCACGCAGGTCCACAGTGTCGGCAAGTAACTCCTAACGATGGAAAATCCAGCAAACCGGAGTACCTACGTGAGCTCGTACCTCTGTCCAGGCTCGGTGTAGCTACGCACCGTGCGCTGCGATGGGTCACGCCTAACGACGGGAAACCCCGCCGGCCGCGGGGGCCAGCTCTGCGCCGAGAGCCCGCGGCGCTTCGGGCGACCACAGCGGGTTACTCGCCTGCCCCCGCCTGCTGGCAGCCGGCACACGGCGAGCAGCGGAGGCCGGGCTGGCCCGGGCGGGCGGCGAGGGAGCGGGGGGGGTCCGCTCCCGGTCGGGGGGG